ATCTTTCTTGTTTCTCAACAAAACAGGATGAAGTTTAGAATATGAATAGGTATTATGGATTCCTACATGATATTGCTATCAAAATTGAATGCAAGGACGTGCTTGGATGCACATGCGCACACGCAATGCGTAAAATGAACAATATGTTTGAACAAGAGGCCCAAGGGCCTTGAATCGCTCTTCTGATAAATTGTACAATCTATCACTTCTATTTGAAGCCTCTGACCCTGAGTATCCTAAGACCCAAGTTGCATCAACTGACAAAGTTTGATGATTCTTAGCCAATTAGGACTGAAAATATTTTTAATAATAAAGCTATTAAAAAAACCATAAGTACATCACAGTGACCTATATTAAGATTGAAGTTTTCTGAAGACTCAAGATGCATTAATAAACAAAGATTGAAGATTCTAAGCCAATAAGTATTTGAGATTTTTAAAAGTAGGTCACCGTGACCTACTTTTTTGTCTACATTCTATGAAAACCCAAGATACATCAACTAACAAAGTTTGATGATTCTAAGCCAATAAGTCCTTGAGATATTCAAAAGTAGGTCACCATGACCTACTTTTTGGTCGACAATCTCTAAAAACCAAAGTTGCATCAACAAACAAAGTTAAACCAGTTAGTACCGTAGATACTTAAATAAAGCCTTAAATGTCAAAAATTAGGTCACCGTGACCTACTTTTCGGACATCATTCTCCAAAACCCAAGATGCATCAACTTACAAAGTTTGATGATTCTCTAAGCCAATAAGTACCGTAGATACTTAAATAAAGCCATAAAATGTCAAAAGTAGGTCACCGTGACCTACTTTTTGGTCGTCACTCTACGAAAACCCTAGACGCATCAACTCACAAAGTTTGATAATTCTAAGCCAATAAATACCTAAGATACTAAAATATAGCCTTAAAATGTTGAAAGTAGGTCACAGTGACCTACTTTTCGGACATCATTCTCCGAAAACCCAACATTCATCAACTTACAAAGTTTGATGATTCTAAGCCAATAAGTACCTTAGATACTTAAATAAAGCCATAAAATGTTTAAAGTAGGTCACTGTGACCTACTTTTTGGTCATCACTCTCCGAAAACCCAAGATGCATCAACTCACAAAGTTTGATGATTCTAAGCCAAAAAATACCTAAGATACTAAAATATAGCCATAAAATGTTGAAACTAGGTCACCGTGACCTTTATTTTGGTCGACATTTTTTAAAGTCACAAGATGCATCTGCTGACCAAGTTTGAAGATCCTAGGTCTGAAGGTAATCAAAATATGCCTTTTAAACAATTCATAAACAAATGCCTGCAAAATTTAAAAAGTAGGTCACCATGACCTACTTTTTCATAAATATGTTTTAAGGTCCCAAGATGCATCAATTTACAAGATTTGATAATTCTAAACCTCTCAGTGTCTGAAATAATTGGATTAAATGTTTTAAAAAGAATTAGTCATAAAGTTCAAAAAGTAGGTCGCGGTGACCTACTTTTAAGCTGACATTGTTCAAGGACCCAAGATGCATCAATTGACAAAGTTTGATGATCATAGGCCTTAAAGTGCCCGAAATATGCCTTGAAATCAATTTGAAAACAAATGCTTACAACATCTAAAAAGTAGGTCACCGTGACCTACTTTTTCATAAATATGTTTTAAGGTCCCAAGATGCATCAATTTACAATTTTTAATCTTCAACATATCCTGATCCTTGTATGTAAGTTTGGTGAAAATCTGCCCGGTGGTTCTGGAGAAGATTTTTTAGCAACCAGTACTTTTGGTTTTGTTTTCTTGATTATCTCCCCTTGTTTAAGGGTCCCAACCCTTATTTTAGTATAAAAGGTAGCCCTTAGGCCAAGGATACCCTGTGACAAATTTGACACTAATTGGTCAAGGGGTTCTTGAGTTATGGCCCATATTCTAAAAAGTTAACGCATACCGCACACCGCACGACGCACACCGCACAAATGGCCATAGCATTAGCTCTTTGAGCCTTTGGCTCAGAAGAGCTAAAAACGGTAAAATTTATATTTTTATGACTTTTATTGATTTCTGCAATATAAAGATATGTTAATGGTTTAGACAACATGTCATGATCACCTTGCAAGTGCATGCACGTGCGTTTGCGAACAATGCGTTAAATGACGAAATGGTGATATCATTGTAGCTTTTAAAATTCTTTTATGAAATCCTGCGATACTAAGCATATTGAAAAAAGTTTTAAAGGAAATTTGCACAAAAAGGGAGTTGGGGAGCGTTTGGGGAACATCTGTAAGGGTCCCCGTTACAATTAGAACTAGTTGAAATATGCAATAAATGACAATGGATCAAAAAAGCACAATATAAAAACATGTAAAAAAGCAACTAAAATTATATACATCAACATCAATAGTTAAGAGACAAATAAAATCAAGTTTGTACCTGAGAGCAACAAAAATTTACATCAAATGACTAGATACATAACAATTATGGCATGATTGAAATAAAACATATAACCAAATGGGTCTCAAGAATGGTGTCAATCTGAAAAAGGGGGCGTTAACCCCGAACATAATGAGTAAAATCAAATGAGTTTGTACAATCTGGAGGAGGGGTGGGTGGTGGCAGACAGCAAGCTTCTACTTGGCCGAAATTTGATAGAAATAGCGCATGCGCAGTAGTACATTATGTAAATAAGCCTGCTAAAAATATCGCTGGCTAAGGGGAAATCCCCACATCAACCAATAGGCAACATACATACCCAAATGAAAAAGAAATCTAACAAAATACTTTCAAAATATCTTCAAAACACTACCAAATCATACTTTTATATTTTCTTAGTATGTTTTGAAAGTGTTGCATTTAACGAAACATCAATGCTATACTTTACAGGATGGGGGTAGCATGGTATTTTATTAATGTTTCATTACACACTGCAGAATGAAATTGCATTTTGAAAGTGTTTCATTATATTTGTCTGCATCAAATTAATATTTTGTTAGCATTTCATTTGATTAACAGACATGTTAAGGGTTGACTTATCTAAGAGCAGTAAAATCTTCCAAGAACAACTTATCTATTTATATCCTGTGTTACTGGTTTTGCGCTAATTTTCAAACCACCAGCACTAGGTCAGAGAGAAACATAGAGATTGGTGAAGGGACATGTAAAGTGTTAATATATATATTGATCCCTGATTGGAAAAAGCAAAATCAGGATGAATCTGGATATAACAGAGGTATTTATTTATTGCATGACATAAAGTTCTTTTAAACTGGACTACAGTTAAACCTTCAATCTGTGAATGTGGATGTGTATATGGCCTGTTTTTATTGGGTTTTTGTTCATTTTAAGATTGACCTTTAATCCATATACTACCCAGCTTAGATCAGTTTTAAGCACTGGGTTAAATGAATTATAATTATACTTGAAAATTCTGTGAAAATGTATGTGAATGGAGAAATGGTCAATGGATTGAGAATTATATCTCTTACACCAAAGGATTTCACTGCAGAGAATGATCGATATAAGAGAGTGATCATGAATCGAACTTGGTGTTTTTAAATGTTGGAATGGTGTGCTATTGTCTACTGAACAATAATGTCAAATCTGGAATTCAAAATACTGTGAAACAAGATGTTTATAATATGTTTCAATATGAGACTGTGTTTCGATGTTTTCAAAGACTTGTGAATTTGCTAATTATAATTTAAAAAAATTCAAATTTAGTGGTTTATTGATGATTTGTTACTTATGCTTTGTTAGTATTTTGTTAGAGTGTTTTGTTAGCCTCATTTGCATGTGATTTTCTATACTAATGGAATACTATCAAAACACAGTGTTTTGTTAGTAGTTTGTTAGAGTGTTTCGTAAGTATTTTGTTAAAGCGTTTTGTTAGTAGTTTGTTAGAGTGTTTTCAAAGTAACTTGTTATAGTGTTTTGTTAGCTCATTTGCATGTGATTTGCTATACTATCAAAACACTTTCAAAACATATGTTTTGTAAGTAGTTTGTTATAGTATTTTGTTTCCCCCTTTTTTTCATTTGGGTAAATCATTTATTGACATAAATTGCTTTTATGTCTGCTTGCCTTACCGTCCACATCGAAAAGAACACAACTCCTCTTAAGGTCAAGATCTAGTAAATAAATTGAGACTGATTTTTTGGTGCAAGATCCATTATGACGTCATAATCAATTTCAACTTTCTTTTTCCCGTACTTTACGGTTTTAGCAGAATAATGTAGAAAATAGGGTATTTTCATGTCATTCAATTTGAAATCACATGAAAAGTAAACCGGATACCTATGTTAAATTTGATATTGATTTAAAGAAGAGGCCATGAACATACTAATTACCGTTTTCTGAGAGACTGTAGGCAATCTGGATACATTTCCTTTGCCGAATACGAAAAAAACTCGCATATTCATGACAGGTTTTCTTAATTTCTCATTGAAAATGACAGTTTTAAAGTACAATTTTGCATCTCGTTTACCTACAAATTATGTCCCGAAACACATTATGTGACCAAGCTAAAGTTGTAAAGCATTAATAAAGGAATTTATTTCTCAAGTTTGATAAATCTGTAGGCACCTTTCATTTACTAGATCTTGACCTTAAAAGAATAAAAAAGGTCATTTATTGAAAGCAATAAATGACAATGGATCAAAAAAGCACAATATAAAAACATGCAAAAAAGTAACTAAAATTATATACATCAACATCAATAGTTAAGAGACAAATAAAATCAAGTTTGTACCTGAGAGCAAAAAAAAGTTACATCAAATGACTAGATACAACTATGGCATGATTGACATAAAACATATAACCAAATGGGTCTCAAGAATGGTGTCAATCTGAAAAAGGGGGCGTTAACCCCACCTTCACAAGGTAGGCGATATTTAATGAATACACGACAAATATAGGCTAGCTTGTTAACGCCCCAAAAAACAAAAACAAAACTAAAAACAAAAAATAAAAGATGATAAGAATTATGGGAAAACCATCAGCCCCTGTCTGATACGAGAAGCAATATTTATGTTTCGTTGGTGTCCGAAAGGGCTGTTTCTTGTTTTTTAGCTTATAGTCCAGGCCTGAAACAACTGCTTCTTGATACAGTTCGACGTTTTTATTTTGCCAAGGGCAAGCTATGGGGTCTCTCTGCCTCCAACGCCGAAACTTCTCGTCATAAAGAAGGGCTGCCTGATCCCCGCAGGAATCAGCAATTTTCTGCACAGTTTGCGCATAAAGCATTAGGTTGCTTATTTCAGCTGGGGCCTTCTCCGCGAAAATGGCAACGAAGATTTGGAACGCTTCGGTCCACTTTGCAATAGACTTAATTGGATCCTTATCATTAGACTTAATGAAAACCAATTGCCCGTCTTTATCGATTGATTTGTAGTTGTTTGGTTCGGGCATGTTTAAGTCAGAGGGCAAAAGGGATGCAAACTTAACATATTCCCCAGCATGGATCTTTGCCCGAATCTTATCGTCAACCCGCAAGTGTTAACAATGTAGCTGATGGGGGAGGGTCAGATTTAGGTGGGGTTGTTGTGCCCTGTAAATCAGGGGATAATGTACCTTCAGTTGTTATTTCTTGCAGCAGCATTGGTGTCGCTAGCGTAGGTGCCATTGGTTGGGGTGCCTGAGAGGGTGGAGCTGAGGGTGGTGTGTTTGAAGCTGCTGGTGTCTGCATGGTAGACATTTTTTCTGTAATGACTTGCCTACAAGTGCTCTCTATGGTGGGGATTATTGAGCTCATGCAAGCTCTTACTAAATCCTCGATAGACTGGTTTGTAGTTGCTGAACCCGAAGTCACTGGAACTGCTGGGGATGAGTCTCCCTTCCTTCGCTGTTTAGGACTGGTGGCCATTTCTATGTATAATCAATAAACAGATTAAAATATCAATCATTAAAATATATAACATATTCATGGATTTAAAGCAAGAAATGCTTTACGTGCTTTAAGCTACTTATAACTTCCTTATAGGAAAGTTTATTCACTTGTCTTATGTTTAGAGCTAAAGTTATGCTTGGAGCTAATTATATGCTTTCAGTTAGCTATATCTTTTTTACCACTGACATATGTATCCCGAAATTGGGAAAGTCTCATGTGGATTATGCTTAAAGCTAACAAGAGGCCCACGGGCCTTATAGGTCACCCGAGTATCATGTAACAACTTTCCAGCGATTGTATTTGGTTCGTGTTTTAATCCAAAAGCCATGAAATTCACAAATTTTGAAAGAGGCACCATTGCTTATCAAAGGGCAGATTTCAAAGCATTTATTTTTAGTCAAAGTACCCCCCTGGTACCCTTGACCCAGCAGCCCTGAAATTATCTATTTTGAAAGAGGCCCCTTTCTTCATTATAAGGCCAGCATTTTTTTTTATGTTTAGGTTTAGTTATGAACATGAGAATAAAAAAGTCCCGAAGGAGAAGGAAATAAAATTTTTTTTTGATAAATCAATTATTAACATTTGTACATTCTTTTTTATGCTATCCTAAAAGGCTCCCTACCACTGGACACATAATGCTTACAAATAGGAAAGTAGAACATTTAATTGCTTATTTCATCATCTGCCAGTTTGGGCCAGTTATATAAATTTTGTGATGTTGATCAAAATATATTTTAAAAAATCTATTCTTTAAAAGTCTTTCAATATATCTTCATTTTTTTAATATGTGTTAGGTGAATGTGTAAACATTGTTCTAAAATTTACTTGATGCCTAAAATTATAATTCCTATCATAAAACAGACAGGGGAGTATTGGGGAGTAGGGTCAACATTTTTTCAATTTTAGTGTAAAATAATTTTTCTGGTTGATACAAATGATACTACATGCCTGTATATATTTGTATATTCTTGCCTTTTAATAGTTGAATTTTTTTTTATTTCTTCAGGTTATTGTTTATTTCTTCCTCAAATGGACTTCATTTCTCCCATAGTTTTATTCATTACATCTGATGCATAAGCAACTCTTTTCTGAAGAATAATGCTTAGACTGTAAGCTATAATAGAGACCTAAACAATGACCCTGGCAATATGAAATAGTTACCACGGGCAGTTTAAAACCTGGGGGAGGAAAATAATTTACAGTTACTTTTGAAACGAATACAGAATTATCTCACCAGCATGTCATTGTGCAACAAAGTCGTCAGCATTTTATTTGTCCTTTGAACAGGTGAAACGTTTTGAATGGCACTCTTATCGATGAATTTTATACTAAACCAATCTTCTCATACCCGCCGTTTGTAAAACCGGAAGTGCGAGTTCGTAAATTTGAAATCTCGATCCCGACTCAAATTTGACATCGGAAAGAATTTTTTTTTAATTTTTTTCTGAAAATTCAAAACCTTGAGCTGAGGGTTTTTAAAACTGAAAATAAAATAAATCCTGGCCTTAAATATGTAATTAGATCATTAGCATATTAACCAGGAGCAAAGGATAAGATGTTCAAAGAATTCATGCATTTCACTATATAATCATTTATTTAGAGCCCCACCCTAAAACAAGAACCCCTGACCCTGGGGCCATAAAATTCACAATTTTGGTAGAGGCACTCTTGCTTATCATAACTATGTACTTAGTTAGTTTATTAAATACCCAGGAGCAGAGAAGAAGATTTTCAAAGAATTCATGTATTTTCACTATATAATCAATAGAGCTCCACCCTAACACCAGAACCCCTGACCCTGGGGCCATAAAATTCACAATTTTGGTAGAGGAACTCTTGCTCATCATGACTATGTACTTAGTTGGTTTATTTAATACCCAGGAGCAGAGAAGAAGATTTTCAAAGAAATAATGCATTTTCACTACCTACTTATTTAGCCCCGCCCTAGCACTAGAACCCCTGACCCCAGGGCCATGAATTTCACAATTTTGGTAGAGGACTTATTGCTGATTACAATCATGCAAACAGTTTGACTGTTTGATGTCCATGAGTAAAGAAGAAGATCTTTAAAGATTGCATTAATTTTAGTGGTTTTGGCCCCACCCCTCAGGCCCCAGTGGGGCAGGGATCATGAAATTCACAATTTTTGTTCCCCTTCACCCATAGATGCTTTGTGCCAAATTTGGTTGAAATTGGTTCAGTGGTTGCAGAGAAGAAGCTGAAAATGTTCAAATGTTAACGCACGACGAACGACGAACGACGCACGACGAACGACGATGGACGAAAACAGATAGCAATAGGTCACCTGAGTTTACTCAGGTGACCTAACAATGCTTAGAGCTACAACATGCTTAAAGCTAAGAAATATATGCTAAGAGCAAATTTTTTCTCTTTAACAGGTACAGTGCTGCTATCCCACAAGTTGACATGGGATGGGATCGGATAGGATTCAGGATTGAGGATTCACGATAGAAACATATAGAAGTTAATCCAATCCTATCCTATCCTATCCTATCCTGTATCCTACAGCCAATCAGATTCGAGCAAAGGTTCATTCATATTTCAGAATAAATTACAAAAACGAAATACTATATAAAATGTTTACAAAAGAAATATTTATAAAATTTCAATAGAAAATAAAACGTTTTTTTTCTCAAAACACAGATTTACATTATAAACTTCGAGTAACACGGCGTACGATCTAACCGTGAACGATCACCGGAAGATTTGGGAATGTAAACAACAAAGAGTCCAGACATCGAAAGACCGTATTTCTTCAGCTTGTTTGGATGATTTAACCGATTCTTACTTGTGTAAAAGTGTTCTAACATGTTTTCTGTTAAATATGCTCTGTTTGTTTGGATAATTCCACAGGAACCGTCAACAGCGGACTTGAATAGGTGATGTGCGAGTTCTTGTAAGTATACTACACACTGTACACTGTACATGTTTGCATTTTTATACTTATTTATCCCTCAAAACAATGTTCTCGTGTCTAAAAATATAAATATTTTATTCTATTTAATATACACAAAAATTAGGAAAAAAAGAAGTAGTGTAGACAGAATGGGGGATAAAATATTTACAAATACCCCCGTTACTCTGTCATATGATTCAATTAGCTATCAATGAGCTCTAAGACTAAAACAATCATATGTATTATGTCTTAATCAGTTTAATAATCTTATTATTTCCTTAATTCTTTCATTTCAGTGTAACGTATAATAAATTAATGTAGAATCATCTTGACCATTTCTAATGCTACTGCTGAAATGTTTAATAAGCTCACTCAGCAGTGCACTTACATATTGTACATGTATGTATGATGTATTGTGAGTTATGAAACATAAGTTTATCTTTTAATTTTCATCATTACAGTGATGGATTTGCCTGCACTCATGCGTCATCATGCGTCATCACAGTATAAAGGATTTTAATCTAAAAAGTATGTATGATTTTATTTTTATCATGTATTTTTTTATGGTCATTCAACTATATAAACATCATTATCTGCTTTGAGGTGACATGTCTGCAGTTTCTCGGAAAAAGTGATTTTCTTCTTTCAAAAATCTTGAGAGTTAAACTGAAAGAAATGTTGAATTTTTCTGTTCATTATGTTGCTGTTACATAGATATTTTCTTCTTCTTTTACATATTCAAATTTCAAGACCAAAAAAAAAAAAAAAAGAAAACCAAGAAAAAACATTAAATAGATAAATACAAAGAGAAAATAGAGAAAAGTCACTAAAACAAATGTATTCATACTTTTTAGCAAGTTGACAAGATAAAATGAATCATAATGTACAAGTAAATTATCTTAAATAAGATTTTTTTTCTTAATTTTATATGACTGAGGTTGCAGTATAAGATTTTATGTTTCATGATTTCAAAATGCATTTTTTTAGAGAGAAAAAGGTGAAATTAAATCCAATTGTACATGAAATGTGAAAGATAATCACAATCAAAAACATTTTAAATGTGTATGAAATGTGTATGACAAAATTTACAATCTACATGCCTATAATTATGTGATTTTTTTTTCAGAAAACCCTGCAGATTTGCAGCTGTGTAGAATGCAGTTTACGCCATATGCTGTTATATTAGAGTAAATGATGAAAGATGTTCAAACCAGTGTCAAAGATTCCTAAGACTGAAATCATAGTGCTTTTATTAAGTGTATGTTTTCTGTGCATTGTTGACATTTGTGGAACTGTTCAGTTTATGACCATCTCTCTGACAATAAATCTGACATTTGAATTTCAATTTGAGCGTCGAATAAGAAAGCCAAATTATATGCATGTAAAACATTATACAACTGTAATAAAAACATTGATAAACTTAAATTTAAACAAAGTTCATGTACCGGGTACATGTATCTGTGATCTTTGAATTAAAATTCATAAATGCTGTACGTGGATACTTTTAATGACTTTGTCTCATGGTAATGGAATATTCAATTGTTAAACATTGTTGAGGAATCACCTTGAATAAAACTATTGTGTACTTGATAAAGTTTTTTTTCTCATTTAAACACTGATAATTTTAAGATCAAATGTCAAGGACAAATAAAAGGTTTACTCAAGAATGTCTTATACATACTGTGAATTCTTATGCATGTTTATAAGATCTAAGGAACATGTGTGGAGCATTTTAATATTTTTCAATCAGACACTGATTAAGATTCAAGATCCAATGCCAAGGTCAAATACAAACTTGCTTTACTCAAGAATGAGTTATAAATAGTGTAAATACTGTGAATTCTGAATTTCTCTTGCATATTTTATAAGATCTTAGAAACATGTGTGACCTCACTACAATATTTATTAATATTATACTTTCATGTAAATTACTTGAATCTGATTCGTCGAGAAACATTTGATAAAAAACACTACTAGTAACTACCCGCTGAATAATGAAGCCATGCCCTCCTGCGTAGCAACAGTCAACATTGCAGTGACTGCGAGGAATTTATGCATGCACGGTTCACTGTAATATGTATTTGTATAAAACATTCAGTATAATAATAACAAATATTGCATGTAGTTGAGTGTAACATTAAAGATTTTCACCCCTCGAAAACCATTGTCAACCTCTTGGTTTTCTTGGGGTGAAAATTTTCAATGTTACACTCAACTACATGTAATATTTATCATGTTTATACACTGTCAATCTGTCAACCAATATCAAATTTAGAAAATATATTCTATTAAACATAAATTATTAAATTTTCACACATAAAACAAAATAGGAAATTGAAATACATTTGTACAGCACTGAGCTGACCATAAACTGAGAAGAAACTGAAGTTAAATGAAAAAAAAAAAAAAAACATTTCGATCATCTTGAATTTTATTTAGCAACTATATATTTTGCATGTTTGAAAAATATCACATTCGACAGATGATGAACTGAAATTTTAAAAAAGAAAAAATTATAAATTTAAATGAAAATTAAATTTAATTTAAATTAAAATGTTTAATATGTGAAAGTCAAAATATTCTAGATCTACATTTTGACTTTGTCTGTTTGGTTTATGGTATAGTCAGATCTTCTTTTTGAGAATTGCATACAGAATTTAACAAAAACCTGTTATGCAGGCACAGTTAGACTATAGATACATGTACATGCATGTTATTTTCATGGTGCTCAGTTTAGAAAAAAAATAAAATTTTACATGAAACATATACTTAAACATTTTTACCGTATAGGCCTATGATTTTTAAAAATAATTAATTATAATGCGTCGGCAGCAAGTCGCGATCCCGGGTCTCCCGTCATTGTTAGTAGGAAAATTAAAACACTAAGTATATTTTTTATTTAATTCTTCTGGTAGCCCAATTTCTTTACATATGTTCGCAAAATCAGTACTTGTCCACGTGTAATTACGACCTGTTTGTTAACATTTATTTTTAACGTGGCAATGATAATCGTAAATTTAATTTGTGCGGCGAGTCGGGAATTATGGAATGCCGATCTCGATTATTTTTTTTTCCATTAAAATTTATAACATTTAAATGAATACCATAACTATGTCTGATTTTTTTCCTGGTAATTCCCTTTTTTCGTTTTGTCAAATTAATTCCTAAATATTAAAAACCTGAGAGTTGCAGGATAGGATAGGATAGGATTAGACTGATATCATAGGATAGGATTGTGGATGCAGGATTCACGATAGGATAGGATAGAATTGTCAACTTATAGGATAGCAGCACTGTATCATACTGTTGTTAACCCGGGTACGCAATCTTATATGCTTATAGCTACTGAATATCTAGTTAATAACAGTCGGTAAATGGACTGTTTAGCCTGTTGAGCGTGAAACGCTGCTTAAACATAGTTTTGAAACCACTAAAACAATTAGTTCCAAAACATATAAATTGTATTATTCCTTGTGTCCCTGGTTAGCAAGCAAATGATTACCAAAGTATAGTCAAGTCTAGTGACTTAATCGATACCTGTTTTGGCGTCTTAAGAATATCAAGGTAACATGACCAGCAATGGCACAGCCACAAGCACTGTAAAATAGGCAAAGTAAATTGTATACATGGATTGTAATTATATACATAACTTTTCTTGAAACAAATTTGATATAAATAAATTAGATATTGACATTCAAACGCGAATGAATATTACAAACAAACAAAATTTTGCACTCTTAATTATTAATAGGTAGAAGCCCGTCTTCTAACCTGCATAGAGTATGATGTGTACAAATAGTATTTAGAATGTTACTGTTGTGACAGTAAAATGCCTCGTAATTGTCTGATTAGTTTATGAAAGCCCAGTCTATTGAGGTGTACGCCATCACTCAAAATTTGATTTTGGCTGTCTGTAAAACCTCTTAATTTCCAAAATGAAATCTGATACTGGGGACATGCATCCCGCAGAAACTGGTTTGCAATTGACGTGTTATGCCTATACTCTTGCGGTGTTATGTGTCTGGTTCGTTCTCTGGGAAAGAAACTGAGGACAGTGACCTTCTGTAGATTAATACGGTTCTTTAATTGAGTCAAAAATGTCACAAGCCTCATGAGAACGACTTTGGCGTTCCAATCCGGGTCATTCAAAGCAAGGTCGTTCCCGCCCAAACACGAGTGTTGGTAAAATGGGTAGGCAAACCCGGGCCGGGGCAAATTAAAAGCCGGGTCAGATCGAGGTTTTTCAAATATCTCCGCTAAGACTCTACCAATTCAACTGAAATTTTCAGATTATGTTACTTGAGGGTTCTTTTGTACCCACTGTTAATATCGTCGTAATATACGCAATATTTCTGATTTTCTGGGCGATTGTTCATTTCCAGGTTGGTAAAATGGGTAGGCAAAATCAATACGACATTTTACGGTATTTTTGAATTACGACTGATTAAACCATTACAATTATGGACTTTTCAAATATTTTTCACCCTATATTAACAAAATATAATTTGTTTTACTTAATAAAAGCTTTAAGTATGCAGAATATGTGCATTTTCAGAAAAACTGGGTCATTAAAACCGGATCCGATCACCCGGGGCAAACCCGAAAATCCGAAATAATTAAAACCAATTTTGTTTTGTATTGGAGGATGTTCCAGCTCTAACCACATCAGAGTTGGCGAAAGAGGTAAAAATTCTGTCGGACACGGTGTCCTACAGATTGTCTAAAAATCACAAAAATAACAGGACACACTTAAAATTTGCCGGACTGTAAAAACAACAAAATGTAAAATTGAAATTGATTTGTGATTGGTGGAACTCTTTCTCAGTGGAAGAAGAAAATGTCTGTTGGATGGGGACAATGTGCAAGTGAATACAATGCAAAATGGATCAATGTAGATTAGAAATAAATTCTGTTTAAATCTCTTGATAAACATTCGCTGAATCACTGTAACAAATTTTATAGAGGAGTTAGTCCTTGTATGATAACGTTATATTTTTTGAAGATATTTTTCACTAAGCTCATTATTGAAATCATCACTTTTGAAATCAAATAAAATACTCTAAACTCTCCTTATTTGACAATCTATTATCTGGAGTCCAACCTGTGGCAATACACTGTAACAACTGCATAATATTTGATTGTCACTACTGTAAACAATGTTATGCTTGAGAATTATGGCGCGAGATTTGGAGCTTTCTCGACTTCTCCGCAAAAGAGCGGTAGTAAGTTCGATAACTGCCAGGTACTCGCCATACTACTATGTAATGCAATATTTAAATAATGTTAAACCCTTCCAGATTCAATTTCACAAAGTGTTAAAAAATAATGCATTATCTATTTTCTTTAATTATATTTCACTATTGATTATTCTGAATTATCTACCGGACACAGTGTCCGGCATGGTTCTAGAAACTATCGGACTCGGACGAAATTTACCGGAGATCGCCGGTGGGCCGGCGTCTTTCGCTATCTCTGCCACATGGAGGTATCCTCATAAGAGCCTTTTTTATTTATTTATCTAAATGATCAGTTTGAAAATGGGTTTTGTAATGAATTTTAGCTTTAATTCAAAGATTAAAAATATAACTGATTTGGATCTGGTATTACTAAATGTATTGAGCACTATTCTGAGCTTGTATGTGATTAAATTAAAGCCAGGATTCTGCATTAATTATGTAACTACAATTTTCCTTTTAATGAATTATCTTTTTAAAAAAATTAAATACAAGCTTTCAACAAATCAATTAGGTGTTTTTTTTCAGGTGACAAACATTAGTAACCTTTACAACTTTTCCGGAATTTTCAGGTTTGTCCCGGGTGATCGGATCCGGTTTTAATGACCCGGTTTTTCCTAAAACATGTAATTTTACGTAAATATTACAATAACCAATGAAGAAATATTACTTTATGGTTAATATATATATTCTTAAGCACCAGAATTATTCATAACTTTAAGGGCTTTATGCAACATATGTCTGAAAACGTAAATTATGAACTTGGGAAACTGCCTACCCATTTTACCAACTTGAAAATCAATAATCGCCGATAAAATCTACAATATAGAGTATTTCATGGCAATCTTAGCAGCAAATTATCGGAATATAAATAATCATGTATTAAATAGATTCTGAAAATTTCAGGTCGATCAATAAAGTATGAAGACAGAAATATGAATAAAGTGCCACGCCACAGCATGATACGCCCATCAAAATATTACACAATTATCTTTAACAGTTTAGACTGCAAGAAAATCACTTCAACCTTGATTCTAAGATGTCCATGATTTTTCCATTTTTAAAAAAAATATTTCTTTATCCATCCCCTGTGCTGTAGGCATAATTATAACAAATGTTACACAACTGACAGATTTCAATACTGTTTGTGTTAGACTTTGTCAAATGCTGGCCATCATAATAAACAATATCAAATTAGTCTTAACAACTTAATCTATGCCAAATTAATTTTGAAAAGAAAGGCTGGCCATCAAATGACATTTGCTATGACCAGCAGTTCTTCTGTCTAATCCCCAAAGACAGATAAGGCAGCGCTTGATCAGATAGCCTTCCTACATTGAACTCATTAATTAATCTTTGACTGGATGCTTGTCTACTCATTACTCCCTAGATATTAATGGATCTGCACTTTTTATCCTATAACACTTTTGAACCATATAAAATACTCCATGATTTCTTTTTAGATTTAATGCCAGACAGGTTTTATATTTAATTCATATGGACAAGTAGGCATGCTGATTCAACCCCACACCATAAAATTAGTTTTTAATCAATTAATATTATATAATATCAGATTATTAGTTTATTATGCAATATCAAATAAGTTTTAATTACTTTTTATCAAATTCATTTTAAAACTTAGCTAGCCACCAAGAGCTATTTTTAATCTAACAGCTAGGCTGGCTGTCCATTTGCCCAATACCCAAGGGATAACACCAAACCTCCTCACTCTAAACTCATTAATTTCTCTCTAATTTGACATGCAATTCTCTGCTATCAAAATTCTTCCTGACCAGTGCTTGATAATTATGCCCATGGGACAAACGGAATTCCTCTCATTAACACTGAAATTTGTTTAAGATTGCTGTAAAGTATATGATGAAAAAATAAGTTTTTACTTGATTTAATACTTTTTAATAAGGATACAACGCTATTTTTTTTTACATTTTTAGGATTGGGAAATTTAAAATTTAAAAAACTTAAATTTTGGAAAAATTTCACTAAAATTAAAGGTCACAGTGACCTTGAAATAGGTCGCGACACATCTTCTACCTAAGATGTATACTTTTGCCAAGTTTGATAGCTCTAGGTCTAATAGTTTTCTAGTTATGAGCCGGACAGGAGTTTTCCATATTTGGCCATAGCATCTTTATTAAAGGTCAGAGCGACCTACTTTTGGTGCGCGACACACCGTCTACCCAAGAAGTATCAGTTGACAAAGTTTGATAATCCTAGGCCTAATAGTATTGAAGTTATGAGCCAGACACGAATGGACAGACGGACAGACGGACGGACGGACATGAAGCCTATAACATAATACGTCCCGTCTTAAGACGGGCGTATAAAAACCTCGATTTGCCCCGGCTTTTAATTTGCCCCGGCCCGGGTTTGCCTACCCATTTTACCAACTCTCCCCAAACACACTATTATGTAACGGGGTCGATGTTGGTGAACAGCAGCGCTTATCAGATTCAGATGTCGATCACTGGAAATTAATCCACCACTTATCCCGAAAAATTTAACTTCATTTAGTCCTGCTATATTGAACACTGAAGAGCTAGATAAGTGCACACCGATATAAGAGCTCAATCTGTTTACATGAGAGTCGCCCACGCACAAAGTCGACATGGTGCGAAATAGGTGACCGCCCAGTATTCCGACGGTCCGATAGTCCGACAGCCCAGTAGTCCGACGGTCCGATAGTCCGACAGCCCAGTAATCCGACGGTCCGATAGTCCGACAGCCCAGTAGTCCGACGTCTTGATAATTTGTAGACTTGTATAACCAATTCCTTCAGCAGAAAAGGGGAAGGATAACACCTTGTTTGTGCTTGGTTTGTATATAAAGTTGGTATGGAAATTTAAGTATATATGAAGCATTATCACCCCCCCCCCCTCATAAAATAAGTTTTGCTCTGTATTTTGTATGCCCCCGTAATCAAAGTATCGGGGATACATAGCTTTTTAATACATTTCTTTTGCTATACTCTGATGAACAGCTTTCTATATATTAAGTACTAATAAAAATGTTTATTACATTGGTCTAACAATTTCCTTTTTGACTGGCCTGCTGGTCCAACATAAGAATTGTTAGACAGCAACGTTGGTACAAATTTGACCCCAAAGCAATTCAATGGTTTGACTCATATTTAAGGACAGATGATACAAACAAAAAAAAAATATTCCTGGATTGGTATATATTTTCGGGCCTAATTTTATCGCAATCGATGCCTATAAAAGATATCTAGAATATTAAGAAATTGTAAACTTCTGTGTTGTTCAAAGACCTGCTTTTCTAAAACCATCATTATTAATCTATACAAATATTTTTTTTTCATTTAAATTCCATTTTTGTACAAATTTGAATAAAAAAAAAATTAAAAACTACGCAGTGAAAGTTATTCATATTACTCATTTATGGGGGCCGACTATAATTTTATTGTGAGAAAGCTACAGTAGCGAAACTCTTCTTTTTTATACCATGAATAATTTAAATTAATATACCTTTATAAATATCCTTCTATATATTTCTTACTAATAAAAAGTCCAACAAAAGAAATGATTATAACGTCGGTCTAACAATTTCACTATTGACCGGTCTTACATAAGAATTGTTAGACAGCAACGTCACCTGTCTGTTACGTCACAATTAATAATCATCGTTCAATATCGGTGACGCGAAAATAGCCGAAGTTCAGAGCTATTAAGAGTTGTTGCTAACAGTAAGGTAAGGTAGAAGGGAAGAGTATGTTTTGTGATAAATATTTTTTGTGATATAATAGACTTATAATATAATTGATTTTTCTTCTTTCTCAGCTTGATGTTTATATTTACTGAAGAAGCCATAATTTTCCAGATATAATTATTGATAGTATAGCGTGTATTGATAAAATTGATCAATCTTAAGTAAGCAGTGAAGGGTATAA